GGTTTTATGTTGTTTTTGATAACTCTGTAAAGTGCTGTACAAAGCTATTATATATATATATAAATGAACACTAACAGCAACAACAACAGAAGGTAAGTAACTAAATACATAGTCCCTCTGGAGAATCTTTTGAAGTTGTAGCAAAAAATCAATAAAGCTTTATGAAGTATAGCAAACTACAGTTTTAACAGCTGGACTGGAGATTTGCACAAAGTTCTTTTTTCTTAACTGGACCCGAGTCTCCCCAAACTGGAGAATTTGTACCCTTGTCTCCTACTAGAGATGAACCAGAAGACTGGAGACTCAGAGCCAGGCTGTGAGGACTGGCAACCCTAGCACAAATGAAGACACTTTGTGAAAAGCAAAGATCATGAGCACAGGGCAGTCTTTTATCCCATTTGTCTTGGGCAACAACATTAGGTCAAATAACCAGTCAAGAGCCATACGCCTTGAACCTTCTAGTTGGGGTGCAGGTAAAGCTTTTCATGGCTCTTCCTAATAGCCAAATTCCTTTCATTTCCTGAGTGTGCATAAGGAAAACTGCAGAAGCAGAAGAGTACTTATAGGAACAAAGTAGGAAAACTGAGCTGCTTTAAAAGTGAGTCAGATTTAACATAAAATTTTAATTAATTAATTATGATGGGGCCTTATTGGGAAAGGCTGTACTGGATGTCAGGAAAATAGCATCTGCTGTCTTGTGCCACTATGCAAAAATGTGCACAAGAGAGCTGGGTATCTCAGAGCTTATACCCAAGGTTCTCAATGTCTCATGAAGATAAAGGAGATATGACATCTACCTTGTGCTATCTTTTTACCTTTTAACCTCAAACAGAGGGCCCCTTGGCAAAAGCGTATGATTGAATCTGCAAGTGTGCTTCACAGTAGCCAAAACCCTGCAACGGTACAAAACAAGAAACCACTTCAAAAGGGTTGGTAAATGGGAGTATAAGCTACTGTCAAAATGAAAGCAGAAGGAAAGAAGAAAGTAAAAACATGAAAAGAAAATGTATGGGTGGGAGAGTAAAAGGTGTCAAAATTAGGAGGGTCTAATTGTCATCCTCTTTGATTTTCCCATTGGGTTTGATCAGGGCTTTGACTATGTGGAACTTATATAAAAACAAATACACAATCCACTGCCCCACCAAAACTCTACCAAAGCAATGACTAGCCAAACCATTTGTTGGTATAGGAATGCTCTAATGGGAGAGCTCCTAATATATGTTTTACTTTCTGAAAGCAGCCCTGTGGGATGCCAGTTTGGCTTGGAGGACCATAGCATGGTGAGCTAAGCTTCAAAATGGTATTCCTTTGCAGAGTGGGAAAGAGTTGGGAGAGAAGTTCTTTAAAGCACCCCATGGCTTCAACAGCCTCTTTGCTTACTTTTGTTCCTTATATGCTACACCCCTGTAACAGGAAGGAGCAGAGCTTAGAAACCTTATTCCTAGATCCTATCCCAAGAGAAAGGTAGGATATGAAATATAGAAGTAAGTAAGTAAATTTATTTTCTGGACTATATTCCCGAGGATCCTTCAGTCAGCATAGCCTGAGAGATTCCACAGGAAAGGAGAAATGTAGCTGAAGCTAAGAAACGTACTATAAAAACTATTAGATTTATAGTTACAATTAGTGTTACCAAGTTTTCAAAACAGCTGTAATGAAGACCTTGAACTTGGGGAATTACTAAAGTCCAAGTCTTCTATGGAATTTTTAATCCTATGTTTACGGAGGTGGCTAGGGAATAGACTGATAGAAACAAAGCTTTTCAATGAATTATAATTTATTTGGGGATTCAAACATACAAAGACTCTCTAACATGCATGTATACACACAAGAACTTGGGAGTAAAGTAGTTAGCTTGGATAGGAAACATGAGGCTTTCTAATGGTAAAAATTACCTGAAGGAGGCTGCTCCAATGATGAATGAAGATGGATCGACTCAACCATTATGAAAGGAAAGACAACGGAAAGAGCCAGGACTCTAATCAGAATTCACAGTGGTGCAGTGTCACCATGAAATCTAGCCAGACCCCAATGTGCCTGAGATTTTGGGGAGCATTTATACCCTTAAACCTAACCTGAGGCAATGAATTGCTACTGTATATCAAAGGATTCCAATTGCTATGCTTTGAAGTAGATAATTTCCAAGGACAGGAGATAGAATGTTAATGTTATCTCATCTTCAGCTGGACACATCCTGGCTGACACTCATAAATCCTCTAGGTGTTAATATCCTGCTTAGCAGCTCCTAAGTCTGGCACTTTTGATCTGCAAATTGTTGTAAATGAAGATGTGACCTTTTTAGGTGCCTACATGATGTCACACCTTGAGTTCATGGCAATAAGGCTCATCCCAGCCCAGGGCTAAGGCAAAGACAAAAGAAGGGGTATTTATATCAAATCAGCCATCGTAACACAGCAATCAGGGACAGCTGAAATTCATGACCTGTAGGCTTGACTGTCAGAAAGTAGCTATTATCATATATCATTATGTTCTACCTAAATACAAAATATAATTATTGATATCAGTCATGTATTTCTCTGCAAAATTAATGTATTGTCCACATTCAGAAATTACATGATGTATAGATTTCTGTCTTTATAAAAAACACCACACACAGAAATATGGGTGTTATTTATTTAATTAATTATTTAATTTCAAGGATTTATATACTGCCTTTCTCCTACAATGGGATTCAAGGTGGGTTACAATAATTTACAATTTTGGGTTTGGTTTTTGGGTTTTTTGTTTTGTATCTTGTTCAGCCTGTATAAAAGAAAAAACTTTCCAAGCCTTAATTAAGAGGTTGTTGTTGTTGTTGCATGCCTTCAAGTTGTTTTCAACTTATGATGACCCTAAGGTTTTCTTGGCAAGTTTCATCCCTAAAATAAAGGACACCTACCAGCCCTATACAGAATAAGCTTTCAGGCCCTCAAATAAGGGACATCCATAATAAGGAACATCAGACAATCTCATCTAATATGTCCTGCAGCTTGTAAACATTCTATAACGGCTTTAAATATGTGACATAGATTGTGGTTTATTCCTGGGGATATTTAAATGGATGATCTGTCAGAACCTGTGACCCAACAAAGCCCAAGCCAGCTGTAAATGCTTTTGTGGAAAAAAGTTTATCAGTTGCCACTAGATGGGGATGAAGCTGTAGTTATGAAAATTTGGTAGCCCAAAGCTCTTGTTTTTAACGCTCTCTTGTGGATTAGTTACAAAACTTCAGGTTCTTTGCTGCAACTTCCAGTGATACACAAGAAATAAAAATCAAAACAAGAATTCAGTTATTTATTATCTTGAATGCTTTGGTCTAAAACTGTTTGCTACTCTCAGGTAGATTAGACCTATTGAATCAACAGGATTTGTTTAAATGAACCATTCAACAGCTGGTTCTGTAGGTTTACTCCAGTACTAGTACTCCAGGACTTTGGCCAGGAATGGGAATCATGCCCCCCCCCCATGTTCTTTGGCTGCATCTTCCATCATTTCTCATTACAGTCTATGATAGCTGGGGCTTTTGTGGGTTGCAATGCAACGCTGCATTGCATTGCAATTATTCTGGGTGTGTGTGACACAATTCTAATTCTAATTCTAGGTTGTCCAGTACAACTCTAGGGTTAACTTCTGGCAAAGTTGCGCTGAAGGACCTACAGATTCATAGAGAGAATATATTAATTAAAATAATCAAATCCACAAAAGACAAAGCTGCAAATGTGGAGGGCCAACTGTAATAGATAGCTATTATTGTCTGTTTGCTGTTGTCTTTCTCATATTTTTGCTTTTAATTCTATTGATAGCTTCATTACATTTTTAATATTGGTATGATGTGAATTGTTAGCTGTTTTAATGCTGGTAAACTGCTCTGAGTCTCAAACTGGTGAAAAGGTAGTATATAAATATAGTTGGTGCTTTGTATCCACAGATTCTTTGTCAGCGGATTCAACCATCCACAGATTGTAAATATTCCCAAATAAAATAAAATAAAATACATTCCCAAAAGCAAACCCCAGAGGTTTTTAAATAGAGGCTAGATGGCCATCTGTCAGGGATGATTTGATTGTGAGTTCCTGCATGGCAGGGGTTTAGACTGGATAGCCCTTTGGTCTCTTCCAAGTCTATGATTCATGATTCTATGTTCCTGTGGATATCAACGACCCACTGTAATAGCAACTTTTGCAATGAGATTGCCAATCTATTTGCCACCAAAGAAATGGCAGCTGTAAGGGGACAAAAGATAGAAGAGGGATGTTTGTTTTCATGTCCTGCTTATTGGCTTCCCAGAACATGTATTTTGAACATGGGAAGACAAAATGCTGGGCCAAAGATTTCATTGGGCCCAATCTTTCAAGGCTCTTTTTTCCTTCTGTATTCCTCATGTATGCTTCTGGGATTGCAAAATATCATGCCTTTCAATCTATCTGATTTAAGGTGTATCCTGCAAAATACCAGTCTACTGATGTGGAATAGGCAATGAAGATGTATGCCAACCCCAAAGAGTTGGTCCGTGTCTGTGTACAGTCATCTTTACCACAGTTATGATAACATCAGCCCATTGTCACCACAAATACTGTTATGACTCATCTGACAGATTGATCTTCTGTTATTAAGAACTGGGCAACCAACGGCTTAACTGCTCACTTGAGGATTTCATTTACGCCGACTCTCTGTGGTTCAGCTCCTCAATTTCACCGCTTCTATTGTGAGAAAATGAACAAATGCATTATTTCTCCCCATTGAAGACACACCCTTTTAAGCAAGACGTTCCATCTCTGACGCTAATTTCTGTTAATTAAAATTCATTATGAGAATGAGGTGCTTGTTGAAAATCCCAAATGGCTTTGAATGAAGGGAATAAATCCATACACCTTTACATGAACAAATAGATATATCTTGCAATAGCTATATGGAAGACTTTTGGATGTTTTAAAGGGACAGCTGTTCCTTTCAGGGAAGGCTTGTCGCACATAAACAAGAGCTACCCATAATAGCAGAGAGCCAGTGTGGTGTAGTGGTTTGAGTGTTGGACTACGACTCTGGAGACCAGGGTTCGATTCTCTGCTCGGTCATGAAACCCACTGGGTGGCCTTGGGCAAGTCACATGCTCTCAGCCTCAGAGGAAAGCAATGGCAAACATCCTCTGAACAAATCTTGCCAAGAAGACCCTGTGATAGGTTTGCCTTAGGGTCTCCATAAGCCAGAAATGACTTGAAGGCACACAACAACCACAAAACCTCATCTTAACAGCCTTTTCTGACCTGCTGCCACTCAAATGTGTTGGGACTACAACTCTCATCATCCCAACCAGCATTTTCTAACAACCAGCATTGCTTCTTTTACCTTGAAGTTGAGTGATCTTTGGACTGAAAAATTCTGCACAATCTAGACCTTGATGTATCCTTACACAAGTGGCAGAACGTATGACCCAAAGATGTAGCACTTATGCTACTTCCATTAAATTGGACTGAAATGGGCCAATCTGCATCTAGCTAACAGAGAGGAGAGGAGATGGTCAACTGTTTATTCAGTGTTTAAAAAGCCCAACATGTTTTGGCCACACTAGGCCTCCTTCAGGGGCTGAAACAAATACAAATACACTTAAAATATAGTATTTTAAAAGATAGGACAGCACTCAGCAAAAGTTATACATACCCTTTGAGAGAAATCCCCGGAGTTGTAACCACTTTCCAAATTACATTACCATTGAGATAAAGGGATCAGACAGTGTAGCATTTCTGTATATATACATATTCCAGATGACCTTGGAAAGGCCTAACCAATGATAAGACTTGGCACAGGACACAGGGACAAATGATGCAACCTCTCCTGACAATTGCTCATGGCCATTGAGTCCATAGGCCCATTTTTCTTTCATCTAACCAACAAGAGTTTGGCCACTATATGACTTAGAAATCAGCCATTCCCAAACTTTGGACCTCCAGATGTTTTGGACTTCAGCTCCCAGAACTCTTGACTGTTGGTCAATCTAACACTGGAGTTTCTAGGAGCTGAAGTCCAGAACATCCAGAGGGGCAAAGAAATTTCTATTTGGAGATGAATTGTGTTTTTTCATAATGTGACCAAAGTATGACAGCCTCAATCTGATCATCTTGGCTCCCAGGGAGATTTTTGGTTAGATCTGTTCAAGGTTCCATTTGTTTATCTTTTTGGCTCTCCATGGTATCCTCAGCACTCAACTCCAGAGACACCTCTCAAATGAGTTGATTTTCTTATTGGCTTTCTTCACTCTCCAGCTTTCTCATCCATACATGATGATGGGAAATAAAATGGTTTGGATGATTCTAACTTTGGTGCTCAGTTGTGTATCTTTAGGATCTCATCTAGTTTTTTCATAGCTTGTTCTTTCATTGTCTTTTAAAAACTTAATATTGCTTAGCACTTGATCATTTAGAGAATTCCCAAGGACATAAGAGTCTTGACGGTCCAGTTTTGCTAGATCATTTCAGTAAAGGCCAGTTTGTCAGCAAGAAAATACAAGATTCTGGGATCTTATGATGAATAGAATTTGGTGGATTTAAGAGAAAGATGATTTAACATAAATCTGATAGATAAAAGGATATAATGTGTATTATGAATTATGGTTTGTGTATTATGCGTTGAATGGCTGTATTTTTTGAATTTTAATAAAAAAATAATTAAAAAAATAAAAGGAAAGGCCAGCCTCCTCTTGCTTAGTCTTAGGGGGCACTTGAGTCCTCCACCAGAAATGCATGATCTAGAGCTGAATACAAACCAAATATTCTATCTGCTTTTTCTTGTTCTGATGCAAATGCTGCTAATACCACTGCTTCCATTTTTGTGTGTGTTTGGATTGAAGTGAGGAGGATATTATGTGCTTTAGACATCCCTATTTACCAAGGGCACTATTTTCTAGTACTTGCTCCTGATTTAAAAAGTCAGTGTATCTTTGTGGAGAGCCAGCGTGGCATAGTGGTTTGAGTGTTGGACATATCACTCTGGAGACTAGGGTTTGATTCCCTGCTTGGCCATGAAACCCACTAGGTGACCTTGGGAAAGTCACATTCTCTCAGCCTCAGGGGAAGGCAATGACAGACTTCCTGTGAACAAATCTTGCTAAGAAAACCCCATGATAGGTTCATTTTAGGTTCACCATAACTTGGAAATGACTTGAAGACACACAACAGCAACAAACAATCTTTTGTGATCTTATTAGTCCCTGATTAAAAAGCTAGAATATGTTTTATTATGTTTATTTTTTGTACACAGGGGAGGTGAATGTCCTTGTAAAATTTGTTAGCACACGCACACACTAGCAAGATGGAGGAAAAAATCAACTCCCCATCCCCCAATTTCTCTGGACATTTTATTTGGTGAGTCCAGTGCTGCTTCAACTTATAATATATTTTAAGATTATTATCTTGTTTTTGTAAACTACTCCTGGAAGCCCTATCTTTTAAACACTGAAGGTGTGCTGAAAATGAAAAGTAACGCCACTGGCCCACCCCTTCATTTGAATTTTACCAATTTCACTTACTTTGCCTTTCTGCCACCCAAATCTTTTGCCCGCTGGCAAGGAAACTCAGATCACTATCGGGCCATTGGACACAATGGGTATAAAGATTACTGGAAGAATCCTGCAACTAAGAAATAAGTAAAAACAATGATAGAATGAGTGCTATAGCCAACATTTTGGATATGCATCATGTTTAGACATACAACCTTCTGCAGATTCCCGTGTGAACATGCACTCTGATCTTGGTCAACTTAACATAACCAGTTTCAGCTCTAATACCCAAATCAGCTGGATGCCAACAGAGAGCTGTACATGGACACAAGACGGCTACCATTACTTGTAATTTTATCCTACCCTTCCTCCTATTTTGACACTTTTGGATGAGTCCGGCATTATTCAAGATTGTTCATGAAAGGAAGTTAAAAAGAAAACAATTATGAAAATGGCATTCCTTTGTTCTTGGGAGTGGGATGGAAAGGAGATACAACAGAAACATGCTGGAACAAGGCAGTTTGTGCCTTGGGTGGAGAGAATGTAAATGCAATTTTGATAACATGGATTTAAACTGATGTGAAGCTCCAAGTCCTCCTGGGCTTTCACGTAAGAACACAAGCTCTGAAAGTTACCACAGGCAACTTTACCGAAAATCATTTTCTCCACACCCAACTGCCAAGGAGCAGTTGTTTTCCCAAGGCTCTTAAAATAAAAAATAAAGGGGTTGCTATTAAAAATATCTAAAGAAAGAAGTGGCCTACATCCAAAAAAAAAAAAAAAAAAAAAAAAAAAAGGAGAGAGCCAGAGTGGTTTGTGTAGTAGTTAGAGTAGGTTTCCCTACTGGATGTTTTGGCTTACAGCTACCATTAGCCCCAGCCAGCAAGACAAATGAACAGGGATGGTGCAAGTTGTAAGGTAAAATATCTGGAATTAGGAAACCCTGATCAGAATACATATCCAGGGGTAACTGTGTTGGCCATACAGCAAAGTACAAAAACATTCAAAATACACAAAACAGCAATACCTTCATTGGGGCAACCAAAGTGCACAAAATACATGATGCAAGCTTCCCAAGTTCCACTTGCTTCTTCCATCAGGTAAATGTGTTAAAAACCAAACAAGAGGAAGAAAAAAAAAAGATGTTAGAGTTATAAGCGTACATTTTTGTCAAGATGTTATTATAGCTATTCTCAGTTAAGATGGTCTGGACTCTGGAGGAATAACCATGTTGGCAGAGGCTATTCATTCCTCTTCCTTGGCAATGTGGGCCCTCGGAGACAAAGAGTTGTAAAGTCCAGGAAATAAAATTTAAAGTCCATTAGATTAAGCCTGGAGAGACTCAGTTTCAAATACTTGTTCTGCCATAAAACTAACTTTGGGGGTCAGTTATTCTTTCTCAGCCTAACCTGCCTGCTGGTTGTATAGGACCCAGATGGGCATCATGATTATGGCTGAGCTGAAAGTATCTGTGGAGATTTGTTTGGCAGTATCAAAAACTATTTTCCTTTTGACATTTTTTATTTCATCAAAAGATATGAAAACATTATTTCCTTTTTCTCATTGCGTGTTTCGTAGAGAATCTTGGAAAAAGAAAATAGTTCTCAGACATTTGCTGCTACTCTGAAAGAGAACTGGATAGAAAGGCACTTGTCCACCTCTTGGTCATGAACGGGTAAAAGAACAGGAGCTGTTAAGCTGACCTCTGGGAAAGTGTACCCAACTATAAAACTACAGTGACCACAAATCTGCAATGTTGAGAGACCCCCTCCTCTTGGTCCACATGCCATGTTCTTCCCAGCCACATCCTCAATTTCACCTAATGTTTTTTGGACATCCATGGATGCTTGGGCAACCAGTGTTCATCCAAATCCAGCAAGATAAGATCTGTACAATTGGCCCTCAGTATCCAGATTCAATTTTTTGAACATGGTTTTAAAATATTTGAAAAATAAATATCCAAAAAGCAAACTTTGATTTTGCCATTTTATATAAAGGACACCATTATATATAATGGGACTTGCATTTTCCTAGATTTTGGTATTCATAGGGTGTCCTGGAACCAAACTCCAGCAGATAACAAGGACCCACTCACTGTATGTAGTAGATTTTTGCAGATTCAGCTGTGTATGACAGTTGAGATGGTCTCAATATAAGTTTTGAATTTTGGGACAATAATAGTATTTTCATGGGAATGTAAATACTCCCCCTGTAACTCCCAGTTTTGTCCCTGCCTCATTTCTTTATGATCATGGTATCTCCCCTACCGGGTAGATATGCCCCCTTTCTTTAATAGTTGGTGAATTATTCACACAGACAGTTGAAGCAATGAATTGGGTCTTATCACATAGCATGTGTGAGCAAATAAAGCCAAATGTGAGAAGTGGTAAGAAGCAAATATGGGAAGGTAAATGTTTTCATAGTCTTTGGTGGAAAAAATGTCAACAGGAACAGCATAATTTCTGATACTGCAAAATATGTCTCTAAAATACATGCAATTTTGGCTCAGCCATAATCATGATGCTCATCTGTATACTACTTAACCAGCTAATGCATTTTTAAAATGCAGATGTGGGAATATGTCTTTATCGACTGGGTCAGTGGTTGCTGAGTCTTAGTTTTGCCTGACTAGAACTGGACGGGGTCCAGATTTTTATTAAATGGAAGGACTTTTGCATTTTCAAAAGTGGTTATGTACTAGATCCCTCTTCATAGAAACATAATGCTTCATAATTCAAGCATGCAAGACATTTACAGACCACTGCAGCTGTTTCATTTTCTTAAAACATGTTCTAGTTTATTACATCAAAAACAAGAGACCAAACATTTTTTTTAAAAAACCCAATACAACAATAAAACCCACCACAAATCTGTAAGCCAACAATGGATTATGAAATAGACACAAACCCTGGTGTTTTCATTTAGAGTGACCATATTTATTTTATTTTTAAAAATCCTCTGAGGAGACGTCTGTAGAGGGCAACCCTGAAGCAGAATTCTCAGACAGCTTGAGAACCAAAAGAAAACAAATAACTTTATCATGATACAAGGCACTGGTAGAGCTCATTTCAACAGAAAGGCATGTCTGAAAACAATCATTTGCATGGTGCTTTCACACAATGTGGGAGGGGAAAAGTTTGACAAGCTTCAAACAACTGCCTTGGATTGTGCTGCACCACACCTTTGCGTCAAATTATTCCGAACAAAGGGATCAAAGAGTATGGGGTGGGGGAACCCTAAGACGGATCTCATATTACTTTGAACAGCTCCAAGAAACAACGAAACTGTTCATATAATTGCATTTCTGTCAGAAATGGCCTGGAGTTATGTGTCTAAAGAGAAACTGCTTTCTTTTTGGTGTCTGCATGAGAGAATGCTGCTAAATAAAAAAATAGGGTCCCTACAGTGACATTAGCTTACAGCCTTTGAGTTTTTGTTGCAGAGATGTGAAATTTACATTACCAATGTCTGCTTTTAAGTGTGTAAGGTGTGTAGTATTTCCAGTAAGGAAGAAGCTTTTCTTTTACAAACCTGATCTTAGGAAAGATACTTTTTTGGACTACAGCTCCTATAATCTGCTGGAGGCATGACCTGTAGGATTTCTACTTCCAGTCCAAAAAAATTAACTTTTCCAAACTGTTACAATATAGCATGGGAAACTATGGTAACAACAAAGCAAGAATGTATCTGGTAATTATCCATGTTTACCTTTTCATGCTATTCTTCTGTAAAATAGGTTCTATCATGACACCCCCTATCCCCACCCCCTCCAAAACTAGGTCTCTATAAGAGTTTTCTGGGAAAACCATATAAAACAATAGAAGGAAGCAAGCCATAAAACAAAACTGTTTTTTGAGAGAGAGATGATGCTGTTCTGTATTACAGCAAAATGTGAGCTAAGACCTGATTCTATGCCAGCTAGTCACCTGGAAGCCTTAGCTTATCCCTAGCCATTTCAATCCAATGGCATCACAAACATTTCTAACAATATAAATGCCCAATATTTATTTGGTAGTGGAATCACAGAAAATAACAATACCAACAGAGATCTACACTCCACTCTTCCCTGTGATGTTAATTTATTTAAAAAAGAAGGATATATGAAAAGTAGAAGCTATATATTTATTCTTTCTTTTCAATGTCTTCTGCAGCTACTGGGTCAGCTGGGGGTTCTTCAACCATGGCACTGTTGCTTTCTGAGCCAGTGTTGCTGTCGCTTGTTCCTTCCTCTGCCATGCTCTCAACTCCTTCTTGTCCACTTTCCTTGTCTTCTGGTGTGGATGTCCCTTCACCATTTTGTTGGCTCTCAATAGGTTCTTCAGGAGGAGGTTCTTCTGCATACAAACATTTCTTTTTATCAATGAAACTTTTTTTGTTATCAGTTAACTTAAATTTTTAATTTTTTTCCCCAGACACAGTGGCCTCATCTGTACTGTAGAAATAATGCAGTTTGACACTGCTTTAATTGCCATGGCTCAATGGTATGGAATTCTGGGATTTGTAGTTCTGTGAGATGTTTAGCC